ATGCATGAGGCTCTGTGATTTCTTCGCCAAACTTGGCATTGATCGTTCCTTCTTCCCTACGTCCTTCTGACTGGCGTTACACGTTAGTACTAGATCATTATGACGAATAAGACTTCAGACTTTAAGAAATATAGATAGTTGCACAAAGGATGGATTTAGAAAACTTTTCTTATTTATAAACGAACTAAAACCCAAAGGTTTTTACAACTTTAAACTATAAACCCTATATGGGGTTTTACTCACACATTTTCATATTTCAATAGAGTGCTTAAGGATCTCATATTTTCACCTGCCTACAAATGAAATCATAACTCTCTATTTATAGAATCATAGAGAGGATCTGATACAAGTTTTTTACATCACTGCTGACCAAATCATCCACTAACTACATTATTGTGTAGTGGTTTATCTTTGAGGGTCCTCTCTTATTTGATGCTTCTCGAGGAATATTCTTTAATAATAGCTTTGCCATTATTATTTTCAGTAGTGGATGCCACCTTGATGGTTGAGCATCTTTGACAGTTGTATATGTTAGTGATTTTGTGGAGCGTCTTACAGATGTCTGCCATGTGTTCGTCGATTAAGTCTGGCTTTAGCAGGGAGTTTTGGAAGGCTAAGAAAAGTTGTACATCGGCGAGAGAAATCGCTTTGTTGTATTTGCTGTAGATTAAGGTCTACTCATTGGCATCATATTCATTGACGAAGATCTTGTCATTTGCTGAAAAACTGAAAACCTTTTTGATAAAAATTTAAATTCTAGATTTAGCTAGTTGGAGGATATCGACTCTTTCAAGCTTTTCTTCCATGGATTTCCTGGGCAGATAGGTTTCTTGCTTGCAGATTCCTATCTGTACTAAATGATGAGGATAGTATTTTTTTTCATCTTTGTCATTCCTGTATGGGATGCTACTGTTGAATTTTTGAAAAATGTCTTGATCCTTTTTGCAGCATCTTGTTCTGAAAGTTTTTATTGCTAGTGTAAAGCTTTTTGAAAGAAGCTTTATTTCCTGCAGGTTTTGACTATGATAGATTGTTTTTACCAATCGTAGTTGAAATGCTTAATATACTTGTAAAGAGTTTGCATCTTTGAAGAAATTGTAGTGACTTAAATTCTTCCCGTCAATATTGGAGAATTTTTCTTCTACAAATTTTTCTTCTGTTGCACTTCGATCATACATGTAACAATACTCGAAGTCATTTATCTTGATTTCTACTGGGAGGTCAGGTGTGACTTCTTTATTAATTTTGAGAGTTCTTCCCGGAAGGCTTCCAATAATGGTTTGGGAACTCTTGATAGATTGACGGCTAACTTGAATGTTTTAGGCCTTAAGGTTTCTGCTGCACTGATAAGTTGTAGTTCTGAACATCTTTCAAATCTTGTGTATTGATCTACAACTATCTTGGCTTAAAGAAAGTTATCAAACTTTTTGTGTTTAATATTTTTAACTCCTTCAGTTGCCTTCTTGGTGATATTCCAGTCTTCAAATATACCAACGTTGGGTCCATTGAATACAACGTAGTATGGTTTTGAATTTTTATTAGGAATTTGTAACAATTCCTCTGGGATTTGAATTCCCTTATCAGGTGATCTTAATCCTGAAGATGAACCTTCAGTTTTGAATTCCCCCGTTGGGTCTTAGATTAAAGTCTAAGGGAGTAACCAAGGTTATTGGAGTTTGTACTCCTGTCTGGATTTTTGGTAAATCCACAACCATCAAAGAATTTGTTAAATCTTTACCTGGAGCCGTTTTCTCAGGACTAGACGTTTCTTTTCTTTTAAAGGAGGTGAAACATTGACCTCTTGCTGTTCAGTGTTCTTTTGACACTTACATTTTCTTCTTGACTCATAGGAGAGGAAGGAGAAGAATGTTTCTTTTGATGTTCAGACACAAATAGTCTTACAATTTTTAATTGGTTTCTGACGAATTATAATTCTTGCTCAAGAAGAGCCTGTTTGAGCATAAGCTCTTGTTCTTTCTCCATTTGAGAAAGGCTATGTACCTGTAGTCCAAATTATGGACTGAGGTTAAAACCTCTTGGGTCGTTAGACAACCAAAGTATAACGCCGAATGGCTTTGATTCCTGCATGAAAATAATATCAAACCTGCTTAGTTTTTCTGTTGGAATTCTCGAGTTAAGAAGTCTACTATGATATTCTTTTCTCCTTTAATGTGCTCTACTTCGAAGCTATATCTGGAAAACCATATTTACCATCGAACTAGTCGACCTTATTTGTTATCTCAAGAAATATTATTTCTTAGAAAATAAGAAAAGTTTTTGTTATCTATTTTTACTGTAAAATTTACAGGTGTTAGATAGATTGAAAACTTTTGAATTACCCTTTTAACAACACTATATTCTTTTTTATTAGAATGGTAATTTCTTTCAGCATCCTTAAAATATCCTAAGTTGTATATGCAAATTAATTCTTTGGATTGATCCTCCGAATTTATTGCTTTAAGGATTCCTCCTCAATAATTATCTGAAGCATCAGTTTCGATAATTAATTTATCATCTATATTAGGATGATATAGAGGGGGAAACTCTTTTAGTTTTTTTTTATTTTTGCCATATAGCTAGAATCATTTTCAGACCATGAATAAAGGACGTCTTTCTTAAGGTTTCATTGTAAGAGGCTTTTTATTTTTGCAAGTTTAGGAATGTAGTCTGAAGCATACGTTAAGATTCCTAAAAATCTTTGTAACTATTTTTTATCTTCAATTTTATTAGGAAGTTTATGAATATTTTCCAAAATATGATTTTGAAGACGATGTCTTCCTTGTTCTATTTCTAACCCAAAAAAAATTATTTTACTTTTAAAAATTTGTGCTTTCTTTTTGGAAATAATGATTCCAAGAAGATCACATTTTTTTAGAACAACTGCTACGTCTAACAAGTGTTCATTTTCATTGTTGCTGAATATGAGGGTATCATTTACATAAACGCAACAAAAATTTTCAAAGGATCTGAATGCATTTTGCATATTTCTTTGAAATATAGATGGAGCTTGTTTTAGATTGAAAGGTACGACAGTCCATTGGTAGTGGTCTTGGGGACATGTGAAAGTTGTTAAGAGTTGTGATTCAGCGTAAAGTAAAACTTGCCAAAAGCCAGATTTACAGTAAAAAAAAACTGAATATTGTTTTTGCTCTAATAAGGGTGAGAAGCCCATCTTTATAAGGGAGATTATGGTTGTCGCCTATAGTTCCTATGTCAATAGCTTTGTAGTTAACTACCATTCTTTTCTTTCCTCTTCTTATTTATGCTTCGTTTTCGACAAGCAAAGCAGGAGATCTGTGCGGAGACTTATTTGGAATGATGACCTTTATTTTATGTAGTTCTTTGATTTGTTTACTAAATTCTTCAACATCTTGAGGACTGTAGTTCATAGGTTTAACTATAATGATAGTGGTCGGGTCGATTAATTTGATGTTTACTTTCATCTATTGTTTAGACTCTATTGGGTCTATTGGATTTTCTGAGCAAACTTTTTCAAGTAAACTTTCAATTTTTTAAATTTTTCCTGGTTAAGAAGAAATTTAAACTCTCCTTTGTTCCCCTCCCCCCCCCCCATTTTAAAAGGTAAAGTTTCTTCAATTTTGCTTTGAGAGATGTTGACAGGTTCTGGTTTTTGAATATTTTTTCATTGAATCTAAAAATCCAAGTTTTCCATTTCTATAAGCGTTTTTCATTTTATCAACAATGATTTGAACACCATTGTTGTGGAAAGTAACTGTTTTGAGATTTTGTACAAATGGTCTATACAAAAGACATAAGTTATTTCCTAGGATGAAATCTATTCCACCTTCTTGTTGGTATACAGAGGGGATATGGAAGACTTCTCCGGCAAGTCTTATCTGAATATCAACACATTTTTTTGTTGATAATTGCAAGTCCATTTGCTGTAGTAACCTTTATAGGTTTTGGAGTGTTAATCCAATGTTCTTCTGGAATAACATATTTACTTGTGATACAAAGACTAGCTCCTATATCAATATAACAATATAAATCAATCTGCTTATATTCGGTGAATCTAAAAGTGCCTTTAACATAGATTGAATTAGGATTTGTGATAGTCAGTATCACGTTTTTAGAGTTCATGACTTTTGAATCAGTCTGAATCATTGTCTGATTCTGTAGATGAAGATGATGATGATTCATCTATTGGTTCTTCAATCAATGTGTAGACAATTTGTTCATCTTGAAATTGTTCTTCTTTAGGCCAAAGGTACACAGATGACACTATTTCAAGGAGTTTAACCTTTTGTGGGTAATCTTTCGTATTAGGACACTCATTGGCATAGTGTCCTTCTTTACTACAAACCCAACATCTTCAATTCTTTTTATTTTTCGGATATATTTTTTGAAAATCTTTTGATTTTTGGAAATATTTTCCCGGTTTAAACCGTCTAGTATCTTTCTTTTTTGAAAATCTTTTGTTGTTCTTTTTTGAATACTTATTAAAAGATTTCTTTGAAGAATTTTTAGTTTTATGGGTAATTTTGCATCCATACTATAACGGTTTTTCTTTTGTTAAATAATTACAATAGTTTTTGTTAAAACGTTTTAGTCTATTTGTGTGTTTGATAGATTACAAATTTTTTGAATCTCATCAATAACATTTCTCTTAGCAAAGGAAGACTGTAAATTGTGGAATTTGTAATTCGGTTATAAATCTGTTATGAGATTCTTGTCCTACAATAGGAATTTTTAATAGATATTGTTTGATCAACTCAAGATATAGATTTCAATCGTTAATTTTGTAAAGATTTGTTTCTTAGTCACAAGTGTAATGATCTAGAAAGAAAATATCACATATGGTAAGATTCGTAAGTCTAGATTTTACTTTTTCGATCTCTCTTTTTTGATCATTGGCTTTGTCTTCTATAAGATCTATACCAAGGAACATCATGTAGATGGCATAAAGCATGTCTTGGAATACTGTCATTGGATTATGACTAATCCAGTTTGTTTTTTTTTTTGATAATTTTTAAAACTATTCATGATGTTTTATGGTTAAACAATAAAAGGATAGATTTTTTTGTTGCATATTTTTCTTTGTTAGTCTGAATGATTAGACTTATTTCCGAAGTCCATATGTCGATAAATTCTTTTCTATCTGTTTCAATGTTGTCAATATTGAGAACGTTTGTTCCGAACTGGTTTGGATTTCCAGTGGGAAGATTTGGCATAGAGCCAGTTCTATGACCTTGTTCAGTTTTAGGTCTTTTTCTTCTTTCACCTTGAAAATAAGATTCTCCATGATGTTCGAATTGTGGTTCGATCTTATTCATCCCGAAGTTAGGCTCTATATCAGAAGAAAGAGATTCTACTTCTTCTTCTGAAATATATACAAAAGTTTCTTTGTCAAATGTTTCTTCTATGACGTTAATCGTTTCATCAAAGTGGAAAAGTTGTTTAAGTTCCTCAGATGTAGAGATTTCTAAATTTACTTTATCCTTTCCTTTAGATTCAGCAAGATCTAGTAACTTAAGAGCTTGATCAAGAATCGAGACATTTGATCCATTGATTATTAATTCTTCATCCTTATAGTTATCCTAGAAGAATTTTTCTACTCTAGATAAATAGTCTATCATGTTGACTTAAAGTAGTCTTTAGGCCATGACATAGAACTGGGATTCCTTGATGATCCTAGTTCTTCATTTCCTACATTATAATTAGGGTATGAGTACTTACCAGTGAACGACATTTTATCTTCAGTTTTAGGATCTAAAAATGTAGTAGTTTTATTGATTATTTCAATAATTTCTTTATTGCAAGAACATTTTTGAAGTTCTTTTTGCGTTTCATTAATAATTTTAGCAGAGATGGCTTCTAATTGGTTTGTATTGACTAAGCCTTGGTTAATTATTTGATCAATCTTTTCAGATAGTTTTTCAACTTTTTCATTTAATTAATTAAGTGATTCCTTGATGTTAACCATAGATGTTGTGATCCCATAAGTTGTTTCATTTGATTTTGCACTTCTTTTAATCTAAGATTAATTTTTTTTAATTTGGTCTGTAAGAACAGCTTTATGGGCAACTTCTTTTAGTAGATCATCAAAGTTTTTAGAAATTTTATTAAAATTTTCTAGTAGTTTTGAGTTATGTTCTATTATGTTTTTCATTTTTTCTAACTGTGTAAAAAAAATTCAAACTGATTGTTATCAATTTCTCCTCCATTTTGAAGGGCAAGACTTAAATCTTTCTTAAATTGATTGAAAGGTTTATTAGTTTTTGATATATCTTTAGAAATATCTTTTTGAATTCCAAAATAGTGATTTATTTTGAGTGTATTTAACCAGCATCTTGCGACAATCTGATTTATATTGTTACAAATGTTAGCTAGGATTTGAACGCCTGCTTTTCCTGAAGAAGAAAAAGTATATTCTTTTTTCTGAGAAGGATCATCAAGATTTTTAAGTATCAATGATTTACCCTTTTTTTTAATATGAGGAAGGTCTATCTTAATCATTTATTACTTCGCTTAGTTGGCTGATCGTTTGATTTATATTATCAACTTTAGAAGACATATTTCTTGTGCTTTTTAGTATATCTCTTGGAGTAGGTTCCAGAGATTTGGATGTTTTACCTATATAAAGAGAATCTGATGAGATTCTAGGTGGTAGCTTTCTCCTAAAGTTTAAAGCCCAAGATCTATCTTGAGGATCTATGTCACAAAATTGTTTATCTTTGACATGTCCTATTTCTGACAATACATCTTCAAGTTCTATGTATTCTTCTTTTTTATAGACTATGCTATGATGACTATTATTCAATGCATATCCTATGCGGTAGGTTATTGCGAAGGGTTTATCTCCTGGAATCATGAGATCACTTCTTTCAAAGTGATGAATAAAAGATAAAGCCTTATTTAAGTTTGCTGATTTCAGATCTAAGGCAAATTTGGGATAGACTAAAAATATGAACTTTTGGTAAGCTAGATTTCCTTTGGCTGCACCAAGAATACAATCTTGTCGATGACTGATTCTATCATCAATCAAGGCCATTTTTATTGGAGAATTAATTCCTTATTGAAATTGAGATTTGATTAGAATTTTTACTGCTCCGATGTGGACCATTCTAAATTTTTATCTTATTTTTGTGGGAATATCTTTTAGGTTACTGTTTATCTGTTCGTTGGTTAATAGTGGTGAAAAACAGATCTTGTGGTATCTTTCATCTCGACAAACGTTTCTTTTATACTAACGAAGTAAAAGATTTCATTTTTTCTTTTTAATGTATTCAAAGTATTAAATTTTGATGGAACGTTTCTGAATATACTTTCTTTCTTTATTTTAAGATCTGTTTTCTTAATTTTTGAAAGACGTTCTTGTTTAATCATTAGGCTTCCTTGAAAACCTTCTTCATTTTCAATGAAGCTTAATGTATGATCTGAAGGTTGTTCTTGAGAATCCTCTCTCTCTCTCTCTCTTCTCTCTCTCTCTCTCTGTATATATATATATATATATATATATATATATATATATATATATATATATATATATATATATCATAGCATGTTGTAGTATGTATTAGAGTGTTTTACATAAGTGAAATATTGAGCAAATGTATTCCCCCTGAAATATATAAAAGCGATAAAAACGGGTCGTAAGCACTCACCCTTGATGAGTGCATTCGGTTTAGACTCGAGAATGTGATCGTTTTCCAGAAGCACCGTGAGATAGCACAAACTAGCAATGAATTTTGATCTGGTTGTTTGGCCTCAATACAAATGAAACAAATAATAAAAGGTCGAGACTTGGTCTTGGAATTTTCACAGAAAAATGGCAACACATTGGCGAGGAGCTACTCCGGCAGCCTCTCGCTTTCTTCCTTTTCTGCAGGCAGCGAACGACAAAAGAGGGTGGGGAAAGGCAGCAGGTGGCAGGGGGTGTTAGGTGGTGGTTTCTCAACAAAAAAGGAGTGGAGTGGCGGTGATTCTCGGTGGTTATTGACCACCTCCAGTGGGGTGTTTTGGATCGAGAAAAAGAGAGAAATAGAGAGGGAAGAAATAATAGTATTGGCTGATTTTTGTGGTGAACAAATGGGAAACAAAGGCCTTTATTTTTAGTCTCATTCAAGTCTCTAGCCATACCATGCACCATACTCTCTTGAAAGGTCAAACACTCAAAGGAAGCCATGCATGAACCTTGGATGTGAGAGGCTAAGGTGGTAATAGAGTAAGGTGGTGATGGTGGATGTAATTATGGCAAGAAGGAAAGGGCAAGGCTGATTTTTCTACTCTTTCATACACGTATGGGAGTGCATGATGATGTCATCAATCCTACAAAGTCCGTAAAACACTTCTAGATTTGTGTGCCAAGATCCCGACATCAAATATTTTTTTCAAAAGTGGAAAATGATAGAGTCGAGTGCATTGATTCTAAAAACCCCAACAAATTAATTTTTCGTGTTGTAGAACTCCGAGAAATTGCGTTTAAAGATTCACGTTTAATTGAACCGAAACGTTTGATTTTTCGACTTTTACAAATATTTTACCTAAAAATATTTAGAGTTTGGAATCAAATAATAGACCATAATCTTAGTCCAAAAACATTCTAAGAATTTCCATCTGAGGTGTGCAAGTCCCTCAACGGATCGAAACAGTTTATGTAGTTTAAAGAAAATTAATATTATATTGACTTGGTTTCTTATAATGAGCATATCTTTTGCATACGAACTCTATTTTGGACGTTCTTTATATTTCCGGACTGTAACACCCCGGATTTCAGGTATATCTCTTTGATCCTTTTCTTTCCTCAAGTTGTCAAAGTTGGTCCTTGAAAAGAATGTTTGGCTTTTGAGTACGCTGGGCGTAAGGGAGAGTACGCTGCGCGTACTCATGAGCGTATTCTTGACGTGGAGACTATCCAGTACGCTGGGCATACCATAGTGTACGCTGGGCGACCATAGTGTACGCTGGGTGTACTAGGCTCAGATTGAAACCCTAATTGTGGGGGTGAGCCCTATATAAGGAACATTATAGCCTCACTTTTAGCCACCATTTCCAGAGAGCAAAATCCTAAGTGTGCCTTAACCCTCGTTCTAGATCTTGTGTGAGGGTGGTTGAGCTTGAAAGTGTTCTTGTGTGCTTATGAAGAGAAGGAGGTGCCATTGAAGGAGCTAGTGTTGGAGGGCAAGCTTTGGATCTGAACTTTCTGAGGTTGGAGCATCATTTGAAGGTAAAAAGCTTGGAGCTTTCTCAATCTTTTTGATTTGTACATTATGGACCATTTCTAGGGTTTTTGTCCCAAAGGTGGAGACTTTATGAGTAAATAAGCTCCATAGACCTTGATCTGTCCATATTCAGTGTATAAGGTGCTATAAATCCATAAAAATCCAACCTTGGACGTTAGGAGTGAGCCATACATGAGATATGAGCTCTTTAGTGAAAGGAGTGGTGTGTTTTGGATGATGATGACCTTTACAGCCATGCAAGGGCGTAAAGTCTTCGACTTTATGGATTACGGGGTTGTAGGGGGTCCAGATCTGTATTTTAAGCCAAGGTCTTAACTGATTAAGAACATAAGTGAGATGATAGTGAAACTGGGACGTACGCTGAGCGTAAATCCCAGTACGCGGGGCGTAGGGTTCAAGCAGCCCGATATCAGCGTAGCGGTCGAGTACGCCCAGCGTAGGGATCTAGTACGCGCCACGTACTCCTTATGGTTGACTTTTGTTGACTTTTAGGGGTTAGTCAACAAATGGACTTTTGGACCATTGGAGGGGTATAATGGTCTTTTACCCTTCTGAGAGAGCATATGAAGGGATTAGTCTAGCCTTTGAGAGCCTTTATTGAGTAGAGATATTTTATGTATGTGATTAGGCGGAGGCTAGATCAGTGTTTCGAGTTTGAGATCATTCGAGTTACCCGAGGTGAGTCTTCTCACTATACAATACCTAGAGTGGTATCTATGTGCAGACCGGAGGGTCTTATGTGTATGTGTATGTTTGAGATTTATGTGCATTGTGTTATATGTATGCTATGTGTTATATAGACCGGACCAGAGGGTCCAACGATTTAGACCGGACCGGAGAGTCCAACTAGCCAGACCGGACCGGAGGGGCCAACGAGTTATAGGACTGGAGGATCCCGCTGAGACACATCGACCGGAGGGTAGTACCGAGTTATAGCCTCGAGTGGCGTATGTGTTGTACGTGGTATTTTGGGGAACTCACTAAGCCTTTATGATTATCGTGTTATGTGATATGTGTTTCAGGTACTAGCGAGGATCGCGGGAAGGCGCCGACATGATCTCTACACACTGATAGAGTATTATGTATTTGAGATTCTGGGACATGTTTTACTGAGATAACATTTGATACATTTGAGTTTTGAGATTACTTTATGAGATATGTTATGTTTGGAAAATGAAAAATTGTTTTGAAAAATTTACGTCGTTACAAGTTGGTATCAGAGCCTTGGTTTGAGGGATTCGGATGCACCTTCGGGCGTATCTGAACTCAAACTAAGGATTTGAGAAAAAATTTCATAAAAGAAACAATTCGGATGCACCCTTACATTATGTGTTATGAGATATAATGTGATATGTTATGCATGCTAGAGTAGGCTAGGTATTCATATCTAGGACTAGAGTGGCCTGATTTGTGATGCCTTAGCCTAGGAGATTACTGCTACTATGAGATACTTCGAGAGTGAGTAGGTAGCAGCGAGGAGCTTATGAGTGGTCTACTAGAGGGTAGCCTGTGTTTAGCGAGATATAGAGTACTTGTGATCTGGGATCCTAGGAGGAGGACTTGGGGTGAATACCGATGTGTTGTGGAAGGTAGTATAGGGCCCGTACTACTGGAAACACCGGACCAGTGAGCAGTCCAAGTAAGAATTGTTAGGTTACTAAGGAACAAGTAGGTTTGAGTTATCGAGTGCGAGTATACTCAAGCGAGTCTCTGATTTCCTTGTGTTGTGTTTCGGAGACATCATGGTTGGGACACGCCACACACCAGAGGGCAACGACATTAGCAACGAGGAGATTCGTCGGACGATACATGACGAGGTGGCCGCGGCGATCCGGGAGGCCATTCCGGAGATGTTTGGGTCTATCAAGACCATGCTGATTGAGACGTTTGACGAGAGATATGCTACTGTTACTGAGGCGGCTGTTGCTGCAGCCACTGCAACTGTCGCTACTGCGAGGCCACAGGGGGGTGACTCGTTGCTGTACCGAAAGTTCAGCAACACGAAACCACCAGAGTTTGATGGTGCTCAGGATCCTATAGCCGCGATGAGACGGATCTCTGACATTGAGGGATGCTTCTACACTTGTTCTTGTTCGGAGCATCTGAGAGTACGGTTCGTGCTGAACCAGCCTCGCTTGGGAGTGAAGGACTGGTGGAAGTTTGTGACGGCAGACTTCACTCCTACAAAGATTACAGCGGTGATCTGGGAGAGGTTCACCACCATGTTCCGAGATGAGTATGTTCCCCCGGTAGAGAGGGAACGGTTGGCGCAGGAGTTCTTGTCCCTCAAGCAAGGGACAGAGCCCGTGACTGTAATACACGGATGTTTCACGAGAGGGCGTTGTTTTGCCCAGAGCACGTGTATACTGAGCAGACACGCATGAGCCGATATATGAGCATACTGAGGAGAGACATTCGTGAGTTCATGGCGAACTCGATATACCGGACATTTGCCGAGCTCCAGGAAAATACCCGGAAGAGGGAGATTGAGCTAGAGACTCAGGCCAGGGAGGAGGCCGAGTCTCATAGGAGGGATAGGTGGCCGGCACAGTCTCAGCCGACAGCCAAGCTGGCAAAGCCCGCTGATTCGAGATCTGGAGGTCCGAGGGGCTGCACTTGCGGGAAGTGCGGCAAGAGCCATGAGGGAGTGTGTAGAGCAGGGGTGTGCTACAAGTGTGGCAAGGAGGGGCATTTCGCGAGGGATTGCCCCAAGGGGTTTGCTGTTTGCTTTCACTGCAACCAGACTGGCCATCGGAAGGCCGAGTGCCCACAGCTGCTTCAGGGATCAGCACAGGGATCTGCACCTGCT